AAACTTAAAGTCTAAAGTTTTTTAAACCTGTACAGAAGAATCAAATTGATTCTTTTTCTTGTCTGAAGAATACAGAAAAAAAGGAAAGAAAGAATGGAGGACATTTATAAAATAATGCCCATTATACAGAAAGCTTCTTAGCAACCATAAACTACAGAAAATAACTGGACAACACATTCAAATGAAGAAAACACAAAAAGAAACATAAAACAAATTATAATTTTTAATTCAAAGGATTATTATGATTTTAAACATTATACAAATGAATGCACTTAGAAACTTGAGAAAGTATGTGTGAAATGATATTGAATAAAGCTTTCAAACATTTGCATATATATTGTGTTCATAATTACATATAACTAATTTTTATTCTCTTATCTGTTTCTTCCTAATAAAGGTCATAAAAGTGACCTAAAAGGCCCTTAAAGTGATTTTAAGATTTGAGGAATAACTTGGAGATTTGAGTATTTTTTAATAGAACATCTATATATCTAGGAATGAAAGGAAGAATAAAAATGAAATCAAGAAAGGGAAAGTATTAAAGGTATTAAAAATGTTTCCCTAAAGGGTATTAAATATGTTTCCTTAATTTTAAGATCCTAGAACCAGGCAAAGAGAGTGCCTCTTTAGGATAGGTCAATTGGAAAAGCAAAATCTTGGTCGTAAAAACTGAGTTACAGGTGTTTTTATTTCCATTCCTGAAAAATCAAAATAGAGTCACTCATGCTAAAGTTCCATATCACCAAACCAAAAATAACTTGTTACAGGACCTTCCAAGAAATCAAGAGCATGGGGATATTCCCAAATTTCCCAAACACGCTAATCAGTGTGACAATGAATTTCCCCCTCCCTAAACTATCTTTTAATTCTTACCAAAAAAATTATCTAAAGTATTCTGATGTTAGTTTTTCCTATTGTCTCCCTGTCCCCACCTTACAAGGAAAATAGCATGGAAATGACCAATTTCTTTTTCGTTTTGCTTTTTCAACTCTTCTCTGTATATAAAACCAACTTTTGCCTGAAGTATTGCCTGATTCCAGGAATTGCAAGATCAAACTAAGATCTTTAAAAGAAATGTGGAAAAATTACCCTTTGACACCGAAAATCTCAGTAATATTATAGAAACAGTGTTAAGAATTCCCCTTTTACAAAGCAAAAAAACTAAGTCACAGTCTTAAATTCTTGCTCTTTCCCAAAGCAGTGTGTCTGTCTTTGACGCTGCACTTTTCCCTACTATTTTTGCTCTTGCTCTCAAACAACCCTAAAGGTACCCTATTCTGTGACCATCTTCTACTATGGTAAATTTTCTGGCAGCTCATTCATTATCCCTGGAATTTACTAAAAACATTCTGCTAAAATGACCTACAAATTTGGGGATGATTTCCTATCAGGTAACACACATATATTTCCTATCAGGTAACATACATATATTTCAAAAGCTCTGAAGGTAGTGGTTTAACACAAAGGAGTGATTCCAATAGAATCAATGAGCTCCATGATAATTCTTTGTGACCAGTAGGTCTGAACTGTTGATTTTATGGTGGTTTTAGTGACCATTAGCTACAACAGCAGAAAATGAGAGTAAAAGTAACCATGCAAGCATTATCTTCAGACAGCCTTCCCCACAGGAATCTGGAAAAATGTGGGGGGATACAGCAGAGCTTGCTACAGGATATAGAAAGAGAGTTTGACCCAATGTTATATAAATCCTAAAGTGAAGAAGACTTTAACTACAACTCCAAATATATTAATTAAATCAGCGGTAATGTGCAAAAGAAATGAGCAGCCCTAGGATGCAGAGACTCCTCAGACAGACAATATGAAAAGTCAGACTGGGCAAGGTGCAGTGGTGGACACTTGTAATGCCAGCTATGCAGGAGGATCACTCAAACCGGGGAATTTGGAACCAGCCTGGGCAACACAGCAAGACTCCATCTCCAGACACAATAAGAAAAGAAAAATTAGCCCCCCTCCTGATGTGGGACCTACCTATTTTCCAAAAAATGCAAAACCACTCTGGTTGTAGTTTCAAAGTGTTATGGGGGTGTCAGGATAGCAACAACAGAGGTTGGCCACGGCACTTAGAAATGCTTTTAGCTCTTTAAATACAAAGAACAAACCATAACCTAATTCTGCAAAACCCTGTCTGGTTCTCCTACACTTCTCAGTCTTAAACCCTCCCTCAATCTTAGCTTCAAGAGGAGGGCAGCCACTAAGGTGTCTAATTTCAATGACAAAGCGAGGACACAAAAGACATGGTGGGAGCAGGAAACAGAATTGTTTCACTGTGCTGTTTAATCTCTGTCAACAAATTCAGCCCTGCATTTTTGCTGTGCATTATCTGGGCCAGCTGCTTCTCCTTTCTCCCTTTGCATGCCAGCCTTGTGTGAGGTCGCTGCTCAGTAGTCAGGTAAGCAGAGGGGTGCCCTGAGAAGACAGGTAAAATCCAAATGGATTCCTTTTTTTTTTAAAAAACAAATGGCGTCTGTGTTGCTGTTGCTTTTAATTGTATGTGAAGGGCTGGCAATGATTTTGTTTGTCTTATGGTATTGGAAGTTACACTCAGGGACTTTGAACTAAGCTCTATCACCAGCCCTTTATTTATTTTTGTATTTGAGACAGGGGCTTGCTAAGTTTCTCAGGCTGGACTTGAACTTGTGATCTTCCTGCCTCAGCCTCCCAGAGAGCTGGTATGACAGGCCTGCACTACCACAGCCCAGTTGGTACTGTTATTGTCTAATGAATGCCATTGTTTTTCTTTTTCATATTACATTTATACTGCCCCAAATATTATCACTTATGCTCTCACCACCATGGAACTTCAATAGTTATCCCTTAGAAGACTTATTTTTAAAGTTTCAATATTGATAACTCTCTTTTCAGGAGCTAAGAAGTTCCTAAGCAATTTCAAAGCAAAGTAAAAGTAAAAGTGACACCTGGACTAGATTTTGGTCAGGATTCTTGGCTTCACTTGTTCACTGTCAGTGTGCAGACTCAGAAAGTTTGGGGGCCGAACGGTCTTTCAGTTGAGCCTTTCTGAAAATCTATGCTAAGATTTCCTCCCTTTCCCTCTCTTCCTGGACAGAGGAGCTGGGCTTGTCACTGTGATGAGGCTGGCTGGGACTGCAGCTTTAGGGACACCTTGTGTCTGCTGCAGGGAAGGCAGAAGATGGGCTGGTAGGAGCTTGTGAATACGGACAGGGCAACGTGATAAAAGCCGCTGGGGTCCCGGAGGAGAAACCCTACCACTTCAGAGTGATTCACTAGCAAGTGTTGGGAGAAGCAGCTCAATACCATGGCCCAGTGACTGAATGCTGCAGCTATCCTGTTGGTGTGAATCCAAGCTCTGCCACTTGGTACGAAGCTTTGTTGATCTTGAGTACATTCCTTAACTTCTCTCTGTGTTCCTGTTCACATCTTAAATTGAGGAATAATCATAAGATCTAAAGCAGAAAGTTACTGTGATGTTTAAATGAATTAATATTTATAAAATGCTTAGAATAGTACCTGGCACAAAGACACATACACACATACACACACACACATGCATGCACGCATGCATGCACACATGCCATACTTCCCAGCACACCTCCAAGAGCTATGGTTGCAGGTCACTGGCCCTGGGAAGTGACGGCTGCTGCTATACCTAGGTTGGTGACATGATCGCTTAGAGATCTGTACACCTCACACCCTTGGACTTAGCAAACCCTGGGTTAAGCAGCAAACAGAAATCACAAAAAGCTTATCCCACACAGCAGTGAGCTGAGGTGCATGTCTCCATGCTAGTCTGGATTCTCCTTGTCACCCACAACAGGCATGGGAACAGTAGCCAAGGGCCTGTTGTTCAAACGCATGGAGGAAGAGACTTCATGGTGGGGCTGGTTAGCCAAGAGGCAGCGAGACAGAGTGCCCTAGATGTGCTGTAGCCAAACCCCAGCCTTAGCTGGCCTCTGATGTGCCTCATACCGTGCTGGGGTGGCTTCGACCTCAGGGCTCTGGGTGGAGAAAATGAGCATCTGGAAGGGGTGGGTCAGGACAAACTAAAAGGCACAGAGCTACAGGACATAGGGCTGGGCCTCAGCCACCAGAGTTTAAAGATGAAGAAACTGACACTCAAAAAGAAGCAGCAAACAGGGAAGGTCTGAGTTTTGTGAGGTCTGATACTTCTAAAAACATTTGGGTGGAGGGATCAGTAAATAAAGGTTGCCCAATTCAAATAAAAATGCTCACGGCCACTACAATGTCAGCAGACAGTAGAAGGTGACAGAGGGAAGAGCTGCAGTAGAACAAAGGCAGTGGTCTTACCTCATTGTGGTTAAAACAGCTTACTTATTCAGATCTCATCAAATCGAAAGATACGGGAGTGTGCTGCTCAGACTGGCCCTCTGTGGGCTCTTAAGGGGGATTTGGAAGGGACTTGTGCTAGTGGAGGGCCCTGAAATGTCAGCTTCATTAGCTTCGTGGTAAGCCAGCTGACATGATTAACTGAAGGGCTGCAGGTGCTAGTGAGCTGTCACTATAATCTGTGGGTACGGAGTAGTGGGAAAGGGAGTGGTCATGGGAGAGGGAAGGCAGAAGCAAACACTATAACAGAAGAAGGCTCTTGGAAGCCCATTAGCTGTTTCCTAAGGGCCTAAGAATTCCAGAAATGGGACAGAGAAGACCAGAGAGGGTGTATGTGGAGGAAATATACACGCACTCTCAGCTGGGAGCCATTGCATGGGCCAGTCCACCCTACTTTGTTCATCCAGGCCCCTTGCGGGTGAGGTGGCAGGGGAGGGCTCTTTCTCAGGTGAGGCCTGCCCACTATCACTGGACACTTGGTCTTAGTCATGAGAGCAGAACCTTCTCCAGGAAAGACTTTTGGCCACAGTATTATGCAACGTAAGTCATATGTGAACAAAACTCGCCATGTCCCCAGGAGGATTTGCATTGGTCAGACCTGTTGGGTGATAGTGGAAGGATTTTGGGACTTTACACAGACAAGAAAAGTTTCTTACCAGAGTACAGGAGGGTCATCAAAACGAGAATGATACCTGGTCCCATGGTGCTAGAGTCAAAAAAAGAAAAGATAAAACATGGTTAGAAAGTGAAATTGTAAATCAGTGTCCAGCAAAGTATGAGCTGGAAGTGGAGTCTGGGATTCACTTGGGTTCCCAGGGGTGGCAGAAGCAGACAATGCTATGTGCGTACCAAAGCCATTTCCTTTCCTATCAGGTCCAAAGAGAGGCTACATTTCCCAGCTTCCCCTGCAGTTAAGCAAGGTGTGTGACTGGGTTCTGACCAAGGAAACTGGGTAGAAAAGATGGATGTTACTTCCAGCTATGGCCGCTAAGATGCAGGGGATACAGAGAAAAACCCAAAGGTCTGAAAGATGGCAAAGACTCACAGTAGAAGAGGCTTTGCTCAACAACTTGGTGAAACAGCTCTTTCCCAACAACTGACCCAAACTGGCCTGTGACATTAGTAAAAATTAAACTGTGATAGCGTCAGGTAATGAGACTGTAGAGATTATTTACTTCTTTTGAAGGGGTTAAGATACAACCTATGGAAGATATTTCTGTTTAGAAATCAACCCTCCAATGATTTTCAAACTTGAATGTGTGTTAAAATCACCTGAGGAGCATGTGAAGTAATTTCCTTGGCCTCATCCACAGAGCTTAATTAGCTGGGTAGGAAGGAAGGTTGTGAATTTGTATGTCTAACAATTGCCCAAGTCATGATAATGCTTTGAGAACCACTGCACCAGCACATTCCTTTCATCGGCATGATGGAACCAAAAAAAAAAAAATGATCTGCATTGCTTTTTAACCACCATCTTTGATTCCTTTCTTTCTCTTTCCTCCTCCTTCCCCTCTCACAAACATACTCAACTTATACCAAAATGGCGGTAGAGTGTCTCACAAGGAAGCTGAGAATAGGGGAAGGACCAATACTAGAAACATCTGGAAAGCCAGGCAAATAAAGTACAGGAATATAACATGGAGCCAGGGACAAGGCCAGCGCATACACTTACCACAGAAATCTGCCTACTTTGCAATGGGTTGGCTATAAGCTTGGCGTATAAATTTTATTTTGTTTGGTTTTGAGACAAAATCTCAGTATATAGCTGAGGGTGGACTGGAAATCATGATCTTCCTGCCTTGGTCTCTCAAGGGTTGGGATAGTGGTGTCCACTACCACATCTGGCTTGCTTGTTGATTTTTGACAGCTAAGGTGAAAAGGAAAACCCAACTGATGAATTAATTCACAAGCCTGTCCACTAATTTACAGGTTGGTTGACAGAAGTAAACCAAGGCTCAGGAGAAGATACACAACTATTTTTTATCCAATAGCAGAAATTTCTTCCTTTGGGGTGGGAGCAGTTGTTGAAAACTGGCCTTGATCCTTTGGGCCATGCTAGACACCCTTTCCCTCTGTCCCATAGCACCCAGCACAGAACACTGAACTAAAAGCATCTGTGTTAAGCTTCTTCCCTTTCTTTTCTAATTAAGTTGACTGACTTGATGATACCTATATAAGAAGTAAGGTTAAAAAGTAAAGGTGATAAATAGTAGAAAGCAAGTCTCTCCCAGCCCTGCTAGCTTTCTTCTGTAGGTGCAACTTTATTACCTGTTACCAGTTTCTTATGTCTCAGTGCAGTTAGTTCAGATAAAACAACCAAAATGAACACATAAATCTATATTCTAGTCTCATTTTATTTTTAAACACAAATAGTAGCATTCGATACATAGCCTTGCATATTCACCATGATCTTGGAATTGTTCTGTATAAGCACACAGTATCTTCACACTAACAATTTCATGCTTTTCTACTGTATTTTATTGGAGGGCAATAACTTATTTTGCCATACGCTGCAGATGGATATTAAGGTTGTCCTTTTAAAATGAACATGCCTTATTATGTCTGAATATCTTTTCCAATGTATAAGAAATACTATTCCCTTTCCAGGTACTGTCTATACATTTCTTTTGCCCACTTTGAGTCTTTGGCTTTGTAAAAAACGGATTTGTAGGGAGCTCCTTTACATATAGGAAATTAGCACTTCATGACAAAGTCACAAATGTATTCAGTCCCTGAAATACATATTTGATATGTGAACTGAATGGCTGGCTCCCAGTTGCTCTCTCCCTTGAAGTAATTTCAATAGGTTTTAAACCAGGCATGGTGGTGGCTCCTGGTTATCTGTTGAGCCAAACCTGACACCACCCCAGGGTTCAGCCTGGAAAGTTGATTCCTGTATACTTCCTCATGCTGAATCACTAACAGCATCCTATTCATCACAGAATCTGAGCACTGTGGTCCCTTTGAGTCTAAATTCTCATCTAAAAATACGGATTTTTCCTTATTTGCAACCTAAAAATTAGTTTGCTTGACCTAACCAAAGACAATTTTTTCTGAGATGACATTGCAAACAGAGAGAAGAAAGCAATTATATTTTGCTATAATCTTAACAAATAACCGTTAATTCAAATAATTACCAGAAATCAGTATGGTCCTAGGAGATCTTGGATAAATAGTTCTTGTAACTCACACAGTGGGGAGGGCACTGCTCCTGACCTGGAAGTCAGTAGTGTTTTAGTTTTTTCTCTTTGGAAACTCTCTTCCCCTGGGTTAGAAATGGTCTTTTTTCACTTCCTCTCACTGATACTGGCTTTGTCCTCTGAAACTATCCAGAGAAAGCCTACCACACTTCAGCCTGCATCTTTCTTTGAAGATTCCAGGATAGCAGTCATATCCCTCCTCAACATCCTAGCCTGGCCCAGCAGTGACAGTCCTTCCAAGGAATATCACTAACATTAATTTAAAGACTGCACACTATCCTGGAAAATATTTTGGACACTTAGTTTGTCAGCAACCTTATTAAAATAGGATGTTAAATACTTAACATTGACACGATCCTCTATTATACAGTATAAACGTCCCATGTGAAGAATGCCCCTCAGCCCTAGCGATGATGTGACGGCGTGGGATGCAGGTGAGGAGGCAAGGGCTGAGTTAGAAACGCACTTCCTCTGAAGTTGTTGCCTCACAAGAGGAGTAGAAACGTCACTGTTTCCTCAGGAACAAACTCCCACCCCCAACCACAAGTCATGGCTTTCTCCAGAGAGCCAAGAAATGGAAACACTTACTTTTAGAGGGAGTGTGTAAAAAGGGGAATGGGAGAGGAAAGAACCTAAGAGTTTATAGGGGGATTCTCTGAGAGGAGGTTTCTGTCAGCTATGAATAGAATAAGATCTGTGAGGCAGGTGAACCAGTCAAAAACCTAAAGAAAGTAGGCTTCACATAAATACTTTCATTCAAGAAACCAAAGAGCTCTTGGTGTACATCATTTTCACTTTACATGCTCAGCCCATTGTAGAACATTAGTAAGAGTTGGGTGAGACATTAATTGCACTGTTGTCCCTCATGATGAGATGAGACTACTCGCCCCCATATCACAGATGAAGAGCCAGTGTTTGAAAGAGGTTAGGCAACTTGCCCTTGGTTATCCAGCTTGTAAATGGTAGAGTTGAGATTGAAATCATCCAGCTCCATTAATTTATAGTTCACACCGGCAGAGCCCCTTTTAAAGTGCCAGCCAGCTGAAGAGCTGGGTTGCAGAAGCAAGCAGGAATGTCAGCTTCCATCTGCTCCCAGAGCCAGCATCTCCAGGCCCAGGCATGACGGTGGTTCCCGGAATTACAGTGGGACACTCAGGTTGGGATTTGGGTAGAGGGTCAAAGTGTTACATGGCTATTCTGAGCTGCCATTCATTCCACAAGCATTGCTTGGAAACCTACCACATTCCAGGCAGAGAGAGCTCTTCTCTGATCTAACCCCAGACAGGTAATCAGATTCCTGGTAGTGATGGGGTTCAGGCACACCTAGAAGCGCTCTGTGGAAATAGGGATCTTGCAATAGAAAAACGGAAAAAATATCTTTAGTGTTTCAGATCTGAAGGAACATGTGGGATCTAGTAGGGGCAAAAGGTAGATGAGGGCATATGAGGTGGTGGTGGCCAGAAATTCGGTGAGACAGGGAAGTGAAGACATGATAAAACAGGAAGCGAGAGAAGGGTCCCAAGGTAGTTTCTACTGCAGGGAGAAGTATCTAAGTATCTAAGTATCTCACAACTTTGTCTGGAACTTTAGTGGCACTCAGAATGCCATGAGAACTGCTGATTCATTAGCTGGTATCTCGGGAAGGTTATGCATTCAAATGTCTTTTAGGCAAACATTTACTGGGTATATTCACCATCAAGTTAGTCCTAAAGGTTTTGAGAGATAAAAGGATGTGTAGGTTGTGGTCTCTCATCCAGTACTAAAAAGAAAGCATGTCCATGAAGAACGATAAGTCAAGAGAAAGGCAGCAACACTTATCTCCCAGGGCACGTGGAATCCTGACTTCAAGCAAAATAGGAGATGCCACAAACTCCATGGAGGAAAGACTAGGTCTACAGCAGTAGGGCATGGCCAGTTGCCTCTGCCAGTGCATTTTTGTGGCTGGACAAGCCAGGCTTGCTGGATGGATGCATCCACTGGTGGGAGGAGAGTGGGGTCCAGTAGGAACACCAGCTGCCTGAGGCCTTGGCTCACCCCTGGGTGTGACGTGCTGCATGAAGTGCTTCTCAGAGGCCCAGAACCTGTAGCTATATATGTAGAGCAACTATTAGTTTCCTTGAGACATGGGAGGAGGAATAGGGTAAACTCATTTCCCTTTTTAAAAAGACAGTTTCTGCACTCCAAAATAAGAAGGCAATTGGATGCATCTGAATTTTAAGAAAGCTGTGGAGCAATATAGAGAAATGTGAAAGCAATACAATCAATACGAGAACAGTTATTAATCATTTGTGTGTTTAGTAGTTCAACTAATATTTATTTATTGAGTCAGTCACTGTGCTTGGCGTTGGGAATCCAGAGATGAGAAAAACCAGACACAGCTCCTCTTGGTTGTATACAGTTCAGTAGAGGGGCAAGACAAAGATCAAATGATCCTATAAATAAATGTGAATTATAAGTATGATAAGCACAACAAAAGAGAAAAGTGAGTATCTTGGTACTTTGAGGT